TAAGGATCTCTAAAAGTAGATGGCGGTGAGACTATGTAACCATGGATTATGTAATAATACCTAAAACACTTTGAAAAAAAAATAAATAAATAAGAAAAAGAGGAAAGCTAAAAAAAGCCATTGGATTAGATGTATTCACACTCGTACAAGCGACGAAAAATGTAATTAATGTGTCTTTTCTTATTTTATTGAAAATTTGAAACTATGAAATTTCAACTTATGGGACCAAATTACCCTTTTATATTATTTCATCTTTCTTTCCTTTGTTTGTTACATATATTTTAACTTTATATGCGGATGGATTTTTTATTTGATTTTATGTAATTTAATTGAAGAAATATTATGAGATTGAATTTTAATTGAAGAAATATTATAAAATTTGAGTTTTAGTTAATATGTTAAACAAGAGAAGTATGGTTTTCTAGTCTATTCACAATATGGTAAATTACTATATATGTGTGTGAACAAAGAAAAAGAAATAATTAAAAAAAAAGAAAAAAACAATTTACATAAGATTTTTTATTTTTTATTTTTAATGTTTAAGGATCTAGAGAATAGAGGGGAGAAACAGTGAAAATTTTTAGCCAATAAGAAATACGACTCTGAATGGACGATTGTGAATAATACTCCTCATAGATGTGATGGTCCCAAAACTCCAATCTAGATTCTCATTCATACTCTAAGAAGATATCTCAATAATCGAACATTGTCTTCACATAGGAAAACAATTAAGAAAGATTCCTACTCCCTTTTAATGCACCAATGATTAAAATCCCCAAATTTCATTAATTCTGCTTCTGCCATTCAAATTTGATCACATGCTTTCCTCTATTCTAAAAAAACAACGGTAAATGAAGCGGACATCACCCAAAAAAATTTTTGTTACATATTCCATAAAAGAATCTAAATCAAACGCTACCCATCAATCATTTAACACAACCAACTATTCAAAAAAGATAAATGAATTACATAAATTAGTGAGGGAAAGACGAGTTTGTCATGATCAAAGTGTAGAAACATGTATGTGAGTATTAATTGTAACATTTCATTAAATATTAAAATAAATCATCCAAATTCACTTATATCCAAATTCACTTATAACTTTCATCCACACCAATTAGCAGGTGACGAGTTATCTCGATATATTAATGTAGCGAAAAACTATATACTGATATAGCGAAAAACAATAGAATGTTCACAAAGAACGAGGGTTATCTTGAATCCATAAACTAAAAAATAAAAAAAAAATAAAAAGTTTTAAAATATTATCGATAAAAAGTTGAATTCTGCTCTTACAATACATGAATATTTATAATAGAGAAAATTTAATAATATTATCAATAAAATGTTGAATTTTGCTCTTACAATACATGAATATTTATAATAGAGAAAATTTAATACTAGAAGAAAATTAATCATATAAATAAGTCTAAAAATAAATTATTTCTAAAAATTTTGAAAAAAAAAAAAAAACATAAGCAAATAAAATATTAAATATAAAAACTCAGAGCATTCCAATTTCATTAAAGTTCCGAACAAAAGCTCCGAAATAATATGCTGGACTCGCATAATATAATAAAACGTGACTTACGAATACTTTTAACCAAAAACCCTTAATGCATCGTTTTAACCCAAAAAAAAAAAAAAAAAAAAAAAAAAAAAAAAAAAAAAAAAGACGAACTTTTCAAAATGTTTATAATTATCTCCTGCATTACATATATGTCACATTCTTGTTGAAAAAAAATAAACATCAGCACGTGAAAGGTCGGATTGATGACCTCCTTAAGCTGATTTACTAATCAAAAGGTCGGTCCATAAAGCTAAGTTTGACCTTTCATTCCGACTTTTGACAATGTGGTAGGTAAACTGTGATTAGACCTTCTGACCTGACTTTGATTTTCTTATCCCTTTACTTCAACCCTTCAACTAGTTTGTTCCCCTCTCTCTCTCTCTCTCTCACGCGCACAGAGTTTTTTTTCTTTCTGGTAGTATATTAACACGAGAAACTTTTACATAATCTTGGTAATCATAATTCCACAACTTTGTAAATGTGTCAACTTAATCCTAAAAAATTAGTGTAGTTAAAAAAAGATTTAAATTTTAGTGTCTCGTGAAGTATTAAGTCGTAAAAATAATTTTTTAAGAATTATGTCAGTGACATCGTCTAAGCTTTACCCAATTTGTGTTGGCAGCGCCATACACGGATCTAATGAATTAGTCCCGATAAAGCCCCGAACACTTAGGTTCTCGGAAATAAATTTATGTCAATTTTTATTTAGTAAACTTATCGAGTTGTGATTTACGGGACCATGTAATAATTTATCGAGAAAACCTATATCAGAGCAAAGTTCAAGGAGGAAAAAACAAACGAACAAAACAATCCAAAAGAAGAAAAAGGTTAGGTAATTGCTTAGCTGCTAAGGGACTTCAACTTTAAATAAAGTTAATTTACAAGACAGTGCATTAAATAGGTAATTCCTCTATCCGATTACTAGTTTTAAAAGGCAGATTTTATGCAATTCAACCTTAAAGTTGTGTACAAATTAATAAAAAAAATCAATTTACCCCAAGTCTTGGTAAGAATAGTAAAATTGTTTCACTGTGACCTAAAGATTATAGGTTCGAAACAAGAAAGCAATATCTAGAAAAAAAAAAAAAAAGAGGCTCCATACATCTAATTCTTAATATTAATATCAATGATATAAACAATTGTGGAAACATTTAATATACACAATCGCTATGATAAAGATCAATCTTGCTCAAAAAGAGCCACACAAACTTTGCCAAATAAAATTAAAAATTGAAACTTTCCGAAAAAATAAAAATAAAAATAAAAATAAAAATAGAAGAAAAAGAATGAAAGTGATGGACCACAAGTATCTAGAAGGTCCGCCCACTAAGAGAAATGGTCCACAACAACAGAAGAGAGAGCACGAAAAAAAACAAAAAATAGGAAAAAGTAAACATGAATATAAAAATAAGGCCATCTCATTTGTGTGGCTTTGAATATAAAAGTACAAAAAGGTGGGTCATGGGACTCATGGGGTAGTGTAATCGAAAGCCTTTAAAGGGTTTGTAGAATCTGTGGACACGCTTTCATGAGCAGTTGTTGTTGTGATACACACACCACCCACCAAAGAATTGACACAATTCACGCCCTTTCATTCATATTTATGCCTTCCAAGATAACATTTTGGTTTGCGCCACTCGATCCTACTAAATTTACTGTGTGTTCCTAACGGTTTGTTTGGTTCATTTGTTTTTATTTTCTAATTTCATTTTTAACATATTCGCCCAAATAACAATAGGATCATCTTCATTATAGCAACATCGAGTTTTAAATGCGTGGAAACGGAAATGTACTTCTTACTTAAATTTCCTGAAAATGGAATATTCCAAAGAAAATTTTCAAAAATAGTTACTCCATATAAAATGTTTTACAAAACCAAACATATTTTTCATATCATTTTCAATAAAAGTAAAACAATTATAAAAAACAATGCCAAACACGTCTTAGCTAGGATTGTTAATGAAACCTAGCTGCACCACACTCAAGGCTGCTCGGCCTTGGCTCATTCATTGTTTAACTCAGCTAGGGCTCCATCGGAGATGTTGACGAGCTCAAAAACACTATGCTAATGCTTGACCCATGTTCGGAAGCCGGATCGCTCCACTCATGAATACATAAACATATGTTAAAAATAAATTTGAAACTATCTATGTATATATAAATATATAAAGAATGTCTTGAAGGTCAATTCAGACTCCAGGACTCAGTGATGTCCCCGTCACATCCAACAAATTGGTGCGTCTCTAAAGTGGGTGCAGAGTTTCTGTTCTGGCTGGTTCATTGGATCTCTAAGAGACTAACAAACGCATGATTTGGTGAACCACCATATAATTAGCAACCAAACAAAAACTAAATTCTAGGATTTATCATAATATCTCGATATGTCAACATAAGGTCGTTTTCAGTGGCTGTCTTGTTCTCTTCAAATCATTTGATCTTCATTGGATTATTCTTTTATTGTTTGCTAGTGGTTTTTCTATTCACAACCAAGCCATCTAATCCAACCACCACCAAGTTCAGCTCAATTGGTCTGTCATCACCAATGTTCTTATATTTTCTCCTCAATTTGGCTTTAGCCATGTCTGTATTCCACAGTACTGATTTCAATCCTTGGAATATACACATCTTTTATGTGGCTAAAATCAACTTTTATCCAGATTGAAGTACTTGTCCAAATACAAATACAGTCCATCTACCAGGTTGAATATGGTCGTGGCACATCGTCAAAACGAGGGCCGGGAAAATATAAGTATGGAAAGGTAAGGCAGATGGAAACGGAATTCTTAGAGGAAACAAGGGGTCTATCATTAATTGGCTGAAGCAGGAAAGAGATGGATGAAGGAAGAAAAGGGTTGTTACATAATTTCCCTATTGTACCTAATTATGCTTAAAGGGAAAATGAAAGAGAAATGAGGTTAGCCCTTTCTGTCAATCACTCTCGCTTTTGGGAAATAGAATGTGGTATACCCTGATGGGAGGGAGGGAATCACTTTTTCCTTCTTGATTCTTTCCTTTCTCCTTTTTCCCTCCTAGCAAACAATCAATCCTTCCTCCTTTTCTTACCTAATGTCCTCCCTCCCGCTCTTCCCTCATACCTAGAATTTGAACGGAAACAAAATGTTACTAGAATATCTATAAAAGAGAATAATGTTCTGGCAGCATCCTGTAATAGCTGTGCCGAATCCCTGATGAAGGCCAATCATATTATCAATTTACTCTAGAAATCTCTTTGTTTAACAAGTTTTGAGTGAGGAATTAATTCCACAAGAACAATGTAAAAGTCATATGCATTAACACAATACAAAGATTAAGACCTTAGTAACTTCTGATAATAAAAGCAAAAGGGCATGGCCATGAGCGAACATGGTCCGTACAATCAACCACATAGTTCATAACTTCATATTTAACACTGATAAATTGAATTGGTTAATTTCATGTTCAAACAACATGCTTCACATAAAAATATTAAAGATGCCAAGAAAATTCAAATATTACAAACAGAGAGAGACATCATAATTGGATAATAAAGCACCCAAAATCCAAGTACCCACCATCACATATCTCTTCAGTTCAGTCTACCTCTTTCCCCTTTGTTGTGCACAAATTTCAGGAATAAGTTCACATCAACTTACATCGGAAACAAAAAAAACGCACTAGAAAGAGAACATAAAAAAAGAAACAAGGAGGAGTCATGTATACAAATACTGAGATAAGTAGCAAAATCAGTAAGGAGTATGGTAGTACCCGGCCGGTGGTAGTCCCATTCCATTGACTGGCGGCATTCCATAAGGCATCACAGGCTGAACACCTGGAGCATAGTATCCGCCACCACTGATCTTGGTTAAACTAGATTGGCCTTGCATACCAGTATTAGCATACTGTTGCCATACCATCTGCTCCTGCACAAGAAACTGTTGTTTCTTTTCCATATCAGACATTTGTACATACGATGGCGGTGGAATGCACAATGATGCAGCAAAAGGGTCTCCTCCAACCGTCTGGACTGTTCCATCAGGGGCCGGGAGTGCCAACACAGGCGTTGTGCTCTTCCCTGCCCCAGGCAATGCAACACTACTGGCACTTCCACCACTCAATTGAGCGGTGCTCACATGTTGCCTTACTGTTCCCTGATCATACATGCCATTCAACAGCAATGGATCAAGCCCACCACCCAATGCGGCCTTTTGATTCGAAAGATGACTTGCGGACTCCACTAAGGCCAATTCCCAATCAGCTTTACCACTTTCAGCTGCCGGGTTTTGCCAAGCAGAGGTTACTGCAGGCTCTCCATTTGAGGGGAATGCTTCCCATGATCCATTTTTGTTGTTCTCTGCCGGCCCTGCAAACAATGCCAAGGCAAACCTATTCCCCTGATCATCTGCAGTTACCGCTTCATCCCTCAAATCCACCAAGTCCCCCGCCTCTTGCTTCTTTGGAGGCGTAGGAAGCTCCGGCTCAGGTGCTGGTGGTGGCGGAGTGTAATTCTCCGGGGCTGGCAACGCCTTTATTTCATTCATATCAGGTACAGGCTCCTCTTGAGCTACCGGCTGAGCCTCCACCCTCCTCTCCGGACTCTTTGTCGCCTTTGCCCTATCCCGCACAAACTCCTCCAATGTCTCCAACAACTTACTCGTAATCCTCTGCACTTCCGGGTACTCTGATGACCTTGCAACACCAGTGTCCTTGCACCAATTATAAAAGGCTATAAGCTCATCAATCTGCTTAGCCGCACTTGCATATGCTTCCAATGCCTTGACACAATCTGAATACTCCATGTCAAAAAATCGATCAAGCAACACAGCCAACACCTCGCATATGTCAGCATATAGCTTAAAACTCTCTTTCGCAACAGGGTACAACGCAACCAACACCATCCTGCTATTCTTGGCCATCCCCGTGGGCTTACACGCCAAGAACCTATCCAGAAGCCTCTGCAAATGAGCCATCTTTCCGAACATCCTCTCGGGCTTCATATCTCTCAATGGGGTCACTTCCCTCTTCTCCTCTCTTCCCGGCATCGAAGACTCCCTCACGTCCCCGGATGACCTCGAACGTCTCATCCCATTATTTCCATACCCTGGTTCATCCCTGAACTCATTGTAGTCATAGTCATAACCCCGATTTGGCGGTGACTTCCACCGTTCCTCTCTTGATCCATACCTCTCAATTTCTCCACCACCACCACCACCGACACTACCACCACCATTCTGTTTTCTCTCATATAACATCAACTCCAACCTCTGATCCAAATACAGAGCATAAGTCCTCACGAAAGCCGAATGGTCCCACGAATTCGAGTGAGCCTCGTCGCGAAAATCCGACATGTTCAGCAGCCTCGTCCCCCTCCGCGTGGCGTACATGATCTCCTGCTGAAAAATGAAGTCGCCGTCGGATAACAGCCTGTGAACTAGCATCAAGGTCTTCAATGCAACGATCCAATCCCTGGTTTTCCCCAACCGCCTCGACACCAAAGCGACGCAAGCACTCACATACCCTCGCGAATACGAAGTCATCTGCAAGATCTCCCTTGCATACTTCTCGTCCGCCGGATCGTCGTCGTGGCTAGTCGCCTTCACGATCGCGACTTCGAGCTCCGGAGCCATATTGCTCGCGACCTTCGCTATTCCGATGCTCGTCTGATCCTTCACCACTCCAATTGCTTTGCGAATCGTACTCGGAGCCATTGTCGCCGACAGTACTCTACAGATATCACAAAAACATCAACAGATTAAACTATATTATTGATCTTTGATGCTAATAAATTAATAATCACTGTTTAAACAAACAATTTTCATTAATTGAACAGGAATTAATCCGGAAATAGAAAGTAAAAAGATTGAATTCTGCACCGTTAAATCCGCAATTAATTTATAGATCTGCGTCGAAGAGGAAGCTCCGATCTGTTTAAAACCAAGTCAAATCTGTGAAGACTTCACAAATTATATAGCAGATCTGAAGCTCTGAGCTGATCTTATAGCATATCGAGCTGAGACTTCACCGACGACTACTTTGTCTCTCTAAAGTTCTCTGCGATGTCTCGTTTGCGCGGAAAGAGGAAGGAAGAGAGAGATGATGTGGGAGAGAAACGGAGACTACAAATTACATTAAAGCTGATCCGTATAGCAGCATTCGAGCTCAGACTTGACCTCCGCTACTTTCTCTCTAGATTCTTCCGTGATCTATGGTTTGTTTGCGCGGGAAGTGGAAGAGAGAGAGGGGGAGACAGATGTGGAAATGGAGAGGAAGAGGACGGAAACGGAAACGAGAAACTAGATCTGAGTTGATCCGCAGAGCATTTGGTTGGAGCTGAGGAGGACTTCAGGTCGGCTGCTTTCTCTCTCTACTTTCTAGTTGTTTCTCTCTCTAGATTTTTTCCTGAGGTTGAATTCCAGTTTTGTAATGAAAAAGGAATAAAAGAGAGGAAAAGTAGATAGAGGGGGGTGTGTGGACCCGTGTGGGGTCGGAGGATTGAGTCAATGTGGGCCGTTGGATCTGAGATCTAGCTGAGAGATGTGGACAGCGGAAGTGTCGGGTGTCGGAGGGGCGTGTTTGGTTTAGTATTTAGTACTATTTTATTCGAGTATGGACGCGTACGGTTTACTGTGATTGATACTTGATTGCTACATACATGGTATTAGTAGCTGTTTGGAAACTAGTATTGGACAAAGTTGATTCTCGTCTGCTTTATACCGTGTGTAGGGTGTTAATGAAGATTGACACGTGTATGTTGATCCGAGGGTGTACAACCCATCTAGGTCCCACCACCGGGGCGAGTGGATTTTCTTTTCCTTTCTGTGATATTTCTGGTAACAGCAGTTTCCACCGTGTGTATAAAAAATTAGATAAAGAAAATGATAAAAAGTAAATAAATGTTCTAATTATAAAAAGTCAAAGTATTCCTTTTTTTATATAACATTACCAATTTAATATTCTCTTATCTAACTTATAATAAGTAAATGAATATAGATTTGATAATTTATTTATTATTAAAAAAAAATACTAAAATTTTCAAAAAGGAACTTTTTTTTTATAATTGAGGGAATATTAATTTGAACACTTAAAAAAGAAAAGAAAAGAAAAGAGAAACATGACTTTCTCCATTACTCCAATTAATTTTATTATTTTACACACTAATGATTGAAATACTTAAAAAGTAGAAGTGGTACTCTAATAAATTTGGACCCGTATTAGCATAACATAAATCAGTTATTAATATTATATATATATATATATATATATATATATATATATATATTTTATAATCGATACTCACATACCCATGTCTCTTTAAAAGTTTGAATTCTTTACTTTTAAGTAAGGACTTCATGTCACTGGGCCATTCACCCGTTGGTAATATTTTGAATTTTTATCAACCTCTCCTTAAGGAATCCTTAAACTTAGTTTAAGGTTTTTGTTGAATCATCCTGGTTCTATAGAATACCCTATTTTTTATAATATAATTTAATAAAAATTAGTGATTCTTATTAAATTTTTATAAGCATTTAACACAACTAGTAATTTAAGTCATTATCCTCGCTAAAAATGCTTAGTAAGTATTCTTTTAGTGAATATATAAATGGAAAATAATATTTCCAATGATGAATTTGGCTGATTATTTTGGCAGAATTTATATGGGACTCCAGTTGTCGAAAAAATTACTATTTGTGTTGGTATTTCTATAAGTTAAGAAGGAATCAAAGGCACAAATATTTTTAGACAAAACTACCCTTTCAAAATATGGGGACACTGTTATTGAAAATTGCTGTTCTTCCAGCTCTTTGATCTTTCTATTTCATTATATTTATGAATTCACTGACAACTTCTTGATGTTTAAGCATATGTGAGGACAACAATGGAGGGGTCGATATTGGCACTGTATGAATCGTATGGATCTCCACCTTTGAAATCTGCCGTGAGCAACACATTCTTCCCTTTCGTCAATCCGGAACCAACCTGCTTGAAATATATCTACATATTCAATTCAATTATTTCAAGTGACTTTATTTAAAAATCAATAATTTTTCATATAAAGTATATAGTTATGGACGAGTATGCTGCTTAAAACAAGCTATTCTCTGAAAAAAAAATAAAAATAAAAAAATAAAAAAAAATGAATTACATAACCACCGGAGTAGTCTATAGCACCTAGTAAAACAAGAAGCCACCGCCCCAAAGGCCAAAAGTCCCCACTACCAGCTTGAGTTCAGGGCTTGATTTGGTTGTTAAAGTGGTCAGCCGGAGCTTATGGTGATTCTTATATGGAGGTTTTGGGAATACGTAATGATGAGAAATATGCTGAAAATTTAAGAAATTTTTTTTCTAAAAATTTGTGTATTCCCAAATGTCTTTTGAAGTATACATTAATAAAAAATAAATTCAGTTACAGAAATAGGCCATTTGTTTCAGTGCGAGTGTTATCACTCTATATAAATAATAGATTTAAGATTTAAGGAATAAATTGTAAATTTAAGTAAGAAATAAATGACATTTCATACCATATTGAGAAGAGGAAAAAAAATAAAAAATAAAAAATTGTATAATACTAGTGTGAAAAGTGGTAGGCCACTCCTTTGAGATTTGGACAAATTACATATGTATAGACAGTTCTCCTTAAGATTTAGTAGATCAATTTTTTATAAAAGGACAATTTTACCCTTATTTTGTATAAAATGTAATATAATATATTATTACAAGAATATTATTGACTTTCACATTCAAAGACACTTTTCGACAATCCACATAAGGTTTTAGAAGAAATCAAAATAATAAACGATAAATGATCTACTCATGTATAATTTATCCAAATCTACCATATTTTCAACTTTCCAAAAAATAAAAAAATAAAAAATACTAATATACTTTGGATGTTTTAAACATTCCATAATAAAAAAATTAAGGGTTAATTTCACTGACTCCTCCTTAAGTTTGGCCAAATATCACCCTCAAACATTTTTAAAAAATAATCAAACATCTTTCAAAAATAATTATTAGTCACATCGTAAACTTTTGCTCCTAACCGTTAGTTGAACAATTCTGACACGATTTAATATGACTTAATAACCCTTTGAATTTGTCAAACAAACATTTTAGCTTAAATAATTAAATTAAAAGACTAAAATAGCCCTAAAAAGTTGTAAATTTACAAATTATATATATAGACATTTTCTGTGCCATTATTTTCTTTCTTGTGCTGCGGATTCCACTTCTGATCTCCTAATTCTATTATATGCTTGAACCGCGAACCTAATCATAAACAAGATTGCTCATCCATATTCCTAAGAAAGGTCTGGATACGGGCTTGACTTTAATAAGTAAAAGGATTACCCTGGCTGCACTTCTTAAGTGGATGAGATGGTTGTGGGGGTCACTTATTAGAAGCTGACATGGCATGTTGACAAGTCAATTCGACCCTAGCCAAATCCTCCGTGGCAATTTAAAAAGTCAAAAGTCTCGAAAGATCAAACTTCGAGCAACTCAAGCCCTGGCATTGTTCCAGACCCATCAAGCCTTGAAAGATCAAACTTCGAGCACCCTAAGCCCTGGCATCGCTCCAGGCTCATTAAACCTCGAAAGATCAAACTTCGAGCACCTTAAGCCCTGGAATCGTTCCAGGCCCATCAAGTCTTGAAAGATCAAACTTCGAGCACCCTAAGTCCTGGTATCGCTCCAGGCCCATCAAGCCTTAAAAAATCAAACTTCGATTACCCTAAGCCTTGGCATCGCTCCAGGCCCATCAAGCCTCGAAAGATCAAACTTCGAGCACTCTAAGCCCTGGCATCAGGCCCAACAAGCCTCGAGAGATCAAACTTTGAGCACCCAAAGCCCTGGTATTGCTCTAGGCCCATTAAGCCTTGAGGAGCCAATTGTGATACCCCTCGGATCTGAGACATGGGTTGATCAAGCCCAGGCCCAAACCCAAGGGATGTCAAACAATTAATATGTAACCGAACACAGAATACAAGATGAAATACGAAATAAAAATAATAATAAGCTGAAAGAATCTAGAAATACAATCATTTATAATTAAATACTTAAAACCTGATAATCCAAAACTCCATAAGTTCACAACTCGAGAATCCATCCATTGGACCCCTTATTTAAATTCTCCAAACGATACTGAAATAATAAAAATAAAATCCAAAGCTAACATAGAGAAAATTCCTACATAATCGGAGGAGTGATTAGCTGTATCTGCTCTGCACGTCCAAACTCTAACCCTGGAACTGACGAGCACCTGAAAAATAAAGAAGTGGGTCAGGCCCACATGCAAGTCCTGATCTACTACAATCCAAACAGTAATCCGATACGCAGATACATCCTAGGAAGACTCAACAATATCTAGAGTAGTCTATATATGTATATAGTACACACTATAGGACGCTCGCTAGTCCAGTAGGTTTGTCTCAGCCTGAATAGAAGGTAACATGCGAATACGCACCCTAGGGTGGGCATGAGTACCTAGACCTACCAGGGAGCAACACCTATGTCCAGTTATCCATCCTAGGCGATATACGCGCCCTAACCATGCTCATGAGACTTAAGCTCATACCACGGCACCATATAATATATATATAAAGTCCGTACTCCTCCTAATACATAATACCATCCATCTGTGTAGTGGTCTGATATATGTATAACAAATCCATCCTGAAACCATAGTGGATCATTCAATTCACAATTGATATGACATATGTTGGTGATGGATTTAATCTTTATGATTAATCCATACCTGAATCCAAATTTAGGTAGGGCTTAGTGTCTGAACTAATCCGTACCTAGTATGACACCGTCCCATACCGGCGTATACCATCCTCCAGTTTCCGTAGTTAATAACACAGTATAATTACTTATTAACCAACATCCCAGAATAAACATAAATATAGTTTAGCATGTACACAACCAATATATGCATCCAATATAACATTTAGATATCCCATTACAGTTCTTGATATAAATGAAAAGACTGTACATTTAACTCATCCAGATAACACAGTTGATGAAAACAGTATCAGATACTAATCAACCATACTCCAAAATTTGCATAATTACAGTTTAACATGTGTATAACTAAATTATGCATCCAATAACAACTTTCGAATCCCAGTTCTAGTCATTTAAATACATGAAATAAAACTGCACATTTAATTCCTCCAAACAGAACTATAATTAATGCAATCAACGGAAAAGGTAATCATCAATTAATTCCAGCCAAATAGATTTATGTTTCCGGATAAATAACTATATACTTGTACACAGTTAAGACATGTTTAATGTCTTTAATTTAGACAAAGAACCCCAATTGTTTCAGAAAATAGTAAGAACAATATACTAATTTCAATCCTTTCATCCACTGTTTCCCAAACAGGTTTAGTGTTGAACCTTATCTTTGTGCATGCTTCAACATT